TATAACCACCCTTTTCTAAAATCAGTTCTAAAATTAGGACCAAGAAATTATGTGAGCCAGTGCACTACTGTAAGTTTTTAATTTCAAAATTCCAAAGATGGATTGAGAAAAAATCAACTTTTTTTTGTTTGGGTTTATGGCCGCAAAGCCAATACACAGTTTATACATTCATGTGGAACCAAAACAAGGAAAGATGATTTTGGGCTTTACCTCGAGTGTTACAAACTTTTAAAGCAAAATCACCCTCTCCTTGGAGCTAGGAAAAGTTACATTTAGCATAAAAAGGGGTTCACTTTTAACAATATAAAGATTGAATTAAAAGGGTTAAGGGTATTTTAATTTCTTTCCCTCATTCTTAAAATGCCTCAATGAATTCTGGTCAGATTTGACTAACATTTAAAAGGGTGTTTAACAAACTACAAATTTACAACCGGGGCTTATTTTATGTTACAATATGTACTTTTTGTATTAATAATACACCATAATAAATATAATATGTGACTTACCTTAATATATACATATACTGAAGGGAACAACATTTTTACTTTACTACATGGTTTCATTGGTTGCTATGGCAACACAAGAATTTATCAAATTTTGTTTTAATTTGTTCAAGTCTTCATCCTACAATAACACCTTAAATGATACAGGTCTGTTTTCAAGAACATACCGGTATGGCAATCTTTCATTTGTATGGATTTCTCATGGTTTTAATAATCAAAGACATAATTTATTTCAGTTTTCCTGCTATCCTTTAACAGGTAGAAAACATGAGAATTGGGGAAATGAAAATTCATGAACCAATACCCTAATAAAGATTCTGCAAACCATCTAATTAAAGCATTTTCTTAAGTCTTGAATGTATACCTCAACAAAGTTAAAACTATATCATTTAATAAACGCAAGTTTCTAAATTCTGCAAATTCTGCATACAGTATGTTGGGAGGGTCAGTAAAATCATTTATAATGTAAAAAAAATAAAGATACCATTTTTAAAGTGTCATAGTCGATGGTGTGTGTTTAAACGCTAAATACATGTGATAGCTAGTATGAGCATTCTTTTAATTTAAGTGTTAATTATGTCTACCCCTCCACAATAAAAGTGCCTATATTCAAGTATTGACCTAATATTCTACTATACTCAAATTCTAAAACATAAAACATACTACAAATTTTCCCTGAAGTTTAAAAGCAATCTCATGGAGTATACTTCCTTTATTAACTATTTAAACAAAGTACTTTTTTTTAAAGTAACAAAACTTTCAAATTTTCTAAACCATCACATATTAATAGTAAATCTTTAAAGAAAAAATGCTATTAGGTTAAGAATGCTTTTCCTATGAAAACTACATGTATTTAACAAAAGTGTTTTAAATTAAAGAAAGATTAAATAGAAAGGGGATTACATAAAAAAGTGAATATAATAATGGGAATACTATATATCTATATAAGCATAGACTTTAATTATTATAAAATAGTTAGTAGACATTTATTTAAACATCTACATCATGGAAGAATCCTATTAAAATGCGAGCATAAGTTGTTGTTGTTTTTAGGTCAGTGGTTAATTTGGACATTCTTTAACATTCAATTGTTACGATTATAAAATAAACAAGTACAATAACAGAGTCGAAAATGTAAAGAAAAGTTTGATATATACTGTCAAGAGTAGAATATTATATACTCGAATCAACAGTAATTACAAAAATCTCTCCTTTAAAAACATCCAGGCAATCTTTTGTTTCAGCGTAACCCTTAACCTGCTGAATTTCTTAAATGAACTTGCCCACCGTCCATTTTTGGAACATTCCATTATCAATTTTGGGGATATCAAGATGACAATATGAAGTTTGTCAGCTAACAGTATAGAGCCTGGTCAGACTTTATGGATGTGCTGGTCGGCCTGACTCTATATTGGTGGCAAAGACTTATCACTTTTGGTTATCAGCAAGATAAGAGTTTCAAAATAAAAACACAAATAAAGCACTAATGGTGAAATGAGCGTCTGTTTTATTATTTTCATTGCTTTATTATTTTCATTTCAAATCCTAAAAATCCCTTGTCCTTCAAATTTATTTTTAAATAAAAATGTTGAGAATTTTATGTCATTAGATAGTTACTGGTTGGGGACCACCAAAACCGGACAACCACCAAACCCGGACGGCCCCGAAAATGCTTGATTTAGAATTTATCTTGTTCAATGGTTGTCAGTCACTTTTTTTATCAACAATAAATGCATGTTTCTTCTAAAATTAAGTAAATAAATTTATTTCAACCTCCGTAAATGTTAATATTTTAATGTCTATTTCAAGAATGTTTACGTTGAAATTCGGGGGTCAAGAAAGCAATGCCTGAACTCATATAACAGCAATAATTATTAGCAGAGTAAACAATTAAATATCCAAAGCCTCAACATTTGCTGCTGAAATATTGTGTGTCATGTTAAAAATAAAAAAAAGAACAACAAAGCTTTTATCTGAATTAAATCAACGTTATTACATATCTGTCCGGACACATGGTACTGTAGTATGTACAATTTATGTAATTTTGATGCCCTCCTTGACGGGCCTCGGATATATGTGTCAACATAATCAGAACTAAACAAACTAGTTTATTAGTTAGGAGAAGAACCTAGCTGTACTGTGTCAAATTTTCGTACCTCTAGCTTTAAAATAATGAAATTTGTATAGAAAAATGATCAAAAAGTGTCCGGTTGATGGTCCCTGGCCAGTACCTTCTGCTCTGAAATTTTAATCATTATTTTGTGCTTGTTTCCTATCAGCTTACAGAACAAATTTCACGAAAAATAGAGAAAGTATGCCGAAATGTAATTGCATCTGTTATGGTAATTAAGGATTTAAATAAATCATTTACTAATTGATTATTATTGAAAAAATGTATCCGAAACACAAATAAATGAAGTTATGCCCCTTTTCTACGCATATCTATTATCATTTATTTACAATCCATGATTAAAGGCATACTTTGTAGCCATGTTACTATGGTAATAACTAGATTTTAAATACCATCATAATTCCTTATTATTAACATATTTCTAGTAATTTGGTCTGAATCTTCAAATCTTGTGTTTCCTCTGACAACGCCTTTACCCTATGTAAGTGTCCAATTTCTTCTCCAAAATGATGAATAGAAGTCTTCCACTTTATTGTTTCCTTGGCAACAATGAATTCCATCTTCTACTCACTTCAAATAATCTATTGCATTTTTGTGTTATGAACGCGTATTTGTAGCTATAGGTACCAATATATATACTACATTTATATACATTTATTATATACAATACTATATACCGCTGGATCGTGTGGAAGTTGCGTTCATTGAACGCCGCCTTTCCTTGTTGGTCTTGTTCATCACATATTATGTATCAGAGGGGAAAGATAGATAACATTTGACCTTCAGTGACACACTTAGTCCTGGCTCATGTTATGATGTCATTATTTGACAACATGTCAGTGCATTGTCAAGCATCAGGGTTTCTTGTTTTCATCAACAATAACGTTACCGTTTTCATCAGTCATCACATGTGACAAAAGATCCCACCTGTCCTGCCATGTTGAACAAAGTAATATTTTATAATCTGTGAAATCTGTTAATGCAACACCATTTCATCTTGTTGATAGAATGCTTTTGTCTGGATCATACCATCTACATGCATGGATTGATGTTTGATATATTCACCAACATGAGAAGTAGTTTAGAACACTTAAGCAGTTCTGTACGCCAAAGGGAGAAGTCAAGCAGAAAATCTTATCTGTAGAAAACTTCAACATACAATGACAGTTTTAATTTTACTTGGCAGAATTATTTACCAGTGTGGATAGGTAAAGGTCACACATAGTGGTCAAAAGTCAAATAAAAATATGACACACCTGACACTTATGTTCCTTGTGAAATCTTATCCTAATATGATTCACTGAGGTATTTGTTAAAAGCTTGTGAAGCCCTAAAATGACTTTTTTAGCTAACCTGACAACGAAGTGATCAAGGTGAGATATTGTCCGTCGTCGTGCATCATGCTTCATGCGTCTTACTACAGTCATCAACAATTGGGTTGTTAACATACTAGCAGTCACAGTTTTGCAAGAATGTTTGTCTTAATGAAATACAGGTCAAATTGTAATATGAAGTATCTCGGGTCAAAACCTAGGTCACAGGAGCTTGAAATAGAAATATCTTTTTAACACTCTAGTGGCTGCAGTCTGATCCAAATATTCTGGAAATTGGTTAAGAAGGTTCGTTTGATGACTTCTAGGTCAAGTCAAATATGGATAATCTCCAGTCAATAACTAGGTTACAGGAGCTAAAAATAGAAAAATCTTGTCACCAGTGTAGATGCTGCAGTTTTGACCTAATTATTCTGGAAATTGGTCAGAAAGGTTGTTTGGATGATTTCTGGGTCATCTGTGGTTAAAACTAGGTCACAGGAGCTAAAAATATAAAAATCTTGTTAACACTCTAGTGGCTGCAGTTTTGATTCAAATATCCTGGAAATTGGTGTGCAACTTTGTTTTGAAGATTTCTAGTTCGAATATGGGTCACCTGGGATCAAAAACTAGGTCACAATGCCCAAATATTGAAAAACCTTGTTAACACTCTTGAGGTCATTTTTAACTCATTTGTAATCAAACTTGATCAGGATGCGTGTCTAAGTAATTGCTCGGATGAGTTCGATGGGTCAGGTGAGCGATCTAGGGCTATCTTTGCCCTCCTGTTTCTTGGAAGCTTTTTCTTTCAGTGATCTGATACAGTTTTGGAAATGGTTCTCATTTAAAAAAAATCAAATGTATCTTTAAGCTTTTGGCCATTAGTAATTTATTGCGATTGAGCATTTTGTATGGCAGAGTTCTGGTCATAGATTACAGCAAGAATGTCCAGGGTAAACAGACCTGAGACAGTTGTTAAAGGTCTATAATTATTATCACAAGCAGTTAAAAAAGCAACTACTACTACTACTACAGTAATTACTTTGTTTGTTATATTCCAGCAACCATGGATGTAATTGTATCCCAGGTGAAGAAAGCTGTTAGTTTTGTTCTCACCTTTGCAACCAGACGAGGGTCAAGGTTTGTGAAATCTTAATTCAATCCATTCTTGTATAGAGTTATAAATATGTTTCTTTTTCATTTGACATAACCATATATATACATCGTGTATATCCCTGTAATACAGGAATATGAAAATAATGTAGGTATTGTGCAATAGTAACTACAAATCTATTTAATATATGGCTGAAATGAGTAACATGGTCAGGTAAAAGGACCAATATGCATAGGTATGGCTTTTCTACTGCACAAATCTTGTGTTACAAATACACTGTGACACATATATAAATTGATTTTAGCACTCAGGTTTGTAAGATATTAATTATTCTAACACTATCGGAAATTTTTCTATATGAACAAAGAAGGCCCGAAGCGTGCATTATTCTACAACAATGCACTCGCCGTTCTTATTATCTCCCTGTGTATTTTCACATTGAGGGCGCCATTTTGTTTGAAAAATCTGATCAATAAAAACAATTTTTTGTCAAATGTGTTGTGAAAACTATCTAGAATGAAAGAAAATGGTCTAACTAAGAAAATGAATCCGAACACCAATATCTTTAATTCAGTCGTTAACGCTGTACAGACGTTTAAAGTGTTGTTTACGTGACTTCACAATGTAGCGCCAAACAGCACGTGCAAAACAATCAAATCGAGAACGCTATTTTAATGACGCAAACGAGTTAAGTTTTACATTTATTTCGTTTTTAATAATTTGAATTTCGCTTGGAAAATTATAGACTGAAATAAAATAAACAAAGTTTTTATCAACGTTTTCAAAATTCGTTATTCTCAAAATGTTTCTACGTACACGGTAGATTTAACGACAGCTTTTTTCAACCCACTGGAACGGTCTTTCAAGAACGTTTCTATTGGAAACTCTGAGGCGAAAACAAATCTAACCACCAAACATTAAGTCCAACTTTATAATAATAATAATATTTTTTCTTGGCGTGTTAGAATGGAAATAGATATTAATTCTTCGCGCATTATTGTATAATAATGCACGTTTTTCGTTCAAATCTTTGTAATAAATCACTCAGGCCTATCGCCCTTCGTGATTATATTACTACACATTTGAACGCAAAGCGTGCATTATTCTACAACAATGCACTCAGAATTGATATCTATTTTCTAAACATCAAATTCTTAGACAACATAATACATAGATATTTTCAACACATAGCTTAACAGTAGTTTTGATGTGTATAATCACATGTGTTGTTTATTTTAAAGCATGCAGCATGCCTTCAGATTCATTCTTATTTTTATGAAATTTTGAAAATGTATTAAAAGATAAAATATTGTCAAGTGAACAAAGAAAGTAATTTACATATTTCCAACAGCAGGTTCAATCTAGGTAAATTACCAAGTAAAGGTCAAACTATGCAAAAATAGCCCTTATTGCATTAATCTCGCTGTAGAAATATGGTGATTTATAATATTTTTTTAATATTTTTATTTTGCTTAAAAGTTTATTTCATTTTCCTCAAAGTTGATTTCCTTGAATTTAGAGGCATGCAGCTTTAAAATGTTTTTTTTCTGTTGACAAATTGATATTGGGTAAACTTAAACAGCTGTTTTCCCCAAGAAATCTGCTAAACTCTACTTACTGTCAGTGCTGTTTTAGATTTGATTGAAGCCTAAAAGTGTTTGAAATATTTTTGTGTTCTGTGTAGGTTAGTTAAGTATTTAATATTGTGATGTTAAAGTAAGTTTAATATTTATCAACTTGATGTTTAATAAGGCGTTGTTTGATGTAACATCATTTTTCAATATTTTTGTGTAATGTTTTTGTATAATGTAATCATGTATTGTTACAGTGCTGTTTATTTATGTGGACATTCAGCTGGTGCCCATCTGGCAGCTTTAATGTTGTCACAGAACTGGTTACAGGAAACCATGGTCAGTCACAGTATCATAAAAGGTTTGTTCTAGTGCTAGTTTAACACTTTCTCAGAGCAGATTGAAAGGGGCAGCTGTGGCTGAGTGGTTTAAATTGTTGACTTCAAACCAGCTAGCTATCAGAAGTGGTTTATACTTGTTTGCCTATTTGTGCCTGAAGTAATGCATTAAGGGGCACCTGACTGAGGTCTTCCTCCGCCAGTAAAGCTGGAAAATTGCTGTATGACCTTTACTGTGTAATTGCAACATTAAATCCAACCAAAAAGAAGGGTGAAAAAACAAAAACAGGGTGAAATTTTGAAGGACATGATTTTGATTTTATCACTATTTATAGTTTACTAGTTTATAATTGAAAAATATATGAAATTCAATTTCATGAATGGAGGAACATTCTCTATAATTGTTATATTAACCTTGTTTGTCAAAGAACATAATAATAATGGGAAAATGTAAATTAATAAATTTAATTAATCAATAATTAATAATTTAGTTGTATGGTGAATGTCTGTCCATTAGCCACATTAATGAATGCTCTATCACTTGATAACTACCAGCTTTGCTGTCTTCTTTCTTAGGAGGAAAGTTGGTCATGGTCAGTAGATGACCCCTGTCAGTGCTTGATGTCATAAGGTCAAAATCACAGTGACTGTGTTATCCTTGCCTATTCATTAACTTGAGGGGGATTTCTATCCTAATTTCAATTAACTTAGTAAAAACATTGCCAAACCCTGTCCAAAATTTTGGACCAATGAAGTCAAAGTTCAAGGTCACAGTGACATTTGTGTTTAAATTCCTTGTTCAAGCATAAACTTGAGAAGGCAAAGGTCTAGGCTTTTGTTACTTGGTAGGGACATGACCCATGGCCTGTTGTTGACCCCTGTAATTTTAGGTGATATGTGTTACATTAAGAGTCAGTCTTTATCCTTTTAACAACTTATACTAATTGGTTTCTTCTCTCATATTTTTTTCAGCGAGTCCTCACACATCTTACAATAGCACATGGGACATCCATGTCAAATGACTACAGACCACTTGCCCCTCAACGCTGTGGGTTCAAATCCTGACAGGGACTTTGGATTCTTACATGTGAGGAAGCTATTCAGCTAGCTTGAAACTTGAAACTTGACAACTTTTTTATTTACTTAAACGCCTATTTTACAACCAACATTCATATTCAATGGCGTTGTAACAGCAATAATAATGATAATAAAATACTTCTAATAAAATACTTATTAAGAAATGGTTACAGTGTTATGAGCAGATATTAAGGAAATATTGAATGATTTTTAAATGAAAATGATAAAATGGTATCAATTCAAGTTAAGGAACATATCATTGCATCAAAGAAATAATAAAAAATTGATAAAAGATTACTTAATATCACATTGAAAAAAATTCACTTTTAGAATATAACTACATATCACAGAACTGATGAATTTTAAAATTTCAAACGTCATTTGCGCTTTTTTCACTTTTGAATTAAAACAAGTTGAAATAAGTCCCTGAACATGTGGGGCTTAAGATTTCTCTTGAATGCTTCTATAGTTTTACTGTTTCTGTTTCTGTCGGTAATTGATTATACCAGTTTTAGGTCCAATGTAACTAAAGGCTTACGGTCTGCGAAAGATTTTCTCTTATCTGAAAGGAACATTAACAATTTTCAACACATTCTTGATGATCTGAGAAACCGTTTTGCAGATTTGCTTTCTAAAAGTTCAGTAAGATAATCTGGTGCGTTTCCCTTCGAACAATTGAACATGTAAGTTAAGATTTTAAAACTTATTCTTGCCTTTACTGGCAGCCAGTGAAGATCGAAACAAGCTTGCTTAGAGCTATCATAGTTTACATCTTAAAAAAACTAACTTTGCACACATTATTTTGAATCCTTTGATCTTTTGTAAATCACAGTTTGCGATACCGTATAAGATGGAGTTACAAGTAGTCTAAGTGAGACATTACTAAAGATACACAAGAGTCTCTGTCGCTTCCTTGTGAGGTATTGTCTTATGTTTTTTGATCCGCATAAAAATTTATCATGGCAGTTCTACATTTCGCTTTACGTGTTCTTTGAAGTTCAAATTTTCGTCGAGGAAAAGCACCAGATTATCGAATGCAGTTTTCTTTGTTGATGGTATCGTTTACAATTTTGATAGATTTAGTTTCACATTTGGTAAGTTGTTGCTTACCCCCAAACAAAAATGAATTCGGTTTTTCGAGGTGTATTCATTTTCAACTTATTAGAATTCATCCAAGTTGTTCGTTGTTTCGCCAGCGTTTCTAAACACTTATTGTAATCTTTTCACTGTTTTGTATAAATTTGGAGAAAACAATTGTCCATATATGTCGTCTGCGAGCACGAAGTGACCGTCGCGGAATGTCATCGAAAAGGGCCTGCATAGGCGAAAGATACAACCAGGGCCCGAAGACAGGATCCTTTGAGGAACAGAACACTCCAGTGCCGACGTGACGCGAATATGCCGAGGTTTTATCTATATATCTCTCTCTATCAACGAACGTGGGTGAAGTAGGAGTCAACCCAGCTTAATGCCGGTAGAGTAGTTCCGTATTTGCTTGTTGAGCACGTCGATCAAATGCTGTGTCACCTTCAAACGCGGCGGCGCTCAGTCAATGCGCGATTAAAGCAGTCACTCCTGTTTTCCATTTGCGCCAGAAGCGTCGTTCACAAGACGCAGAAGCGCAGACTCACAGGAAATGATTTTTTCTATTAAGCACTTTGATTTGTGGTTAGAAGTTTATGTTTCAGCATGGAATTAAACACTAATAGGGGACCTGCTTTTTCATTTAACTTTTGAAAGAAACGGAAGATTACTGACTGGGCGATAATTCTAAATAGATCAATCAAGTCCAAAACTTGTTTATTCAATGGTCGAACTTACAGCCTGTTCCATTTCTCAGCGAAAGATGCCTTGCACTGAGCGATAGGTTCACTAATTAAAGTTATCAACGGAAGTTAATTCATTCAAAAACATTTTCAAAGACGGACAGTTTGTAGTTACGTCAGTTCACACGATTTCGGATGCATATTGTTTAGTGATTCTTCACATCATTCTTCGGAAAGTTCGTTCGAATTTTGTTAGATTTTCCACATTTTGACTCGAAGCCGGTTGTAGTTCGGGTAAAGTTTTCAAAGCATTCTCTGATTTTAGAAATTTTGTTCATAAAATGCGTCCGCAAAACGAATCCGCTAATAGCATTGTCACTCTCGCCGCTCGGCATAGATTTTTGGTACTTTACCTTCCGGGTAATTTCTGTCACAAATTTATATAATTTCTTTGAATCGCCTTTGAACTCCGAAACTTTTCGCTGAATGTTTGCTTTTCCACTTTTTAATTTCCATAAAGTATTTATTCCGGCATTTTGAATATGAATGATAGTCCTCAGGTTTTTTGTATCTTTCCATGTTTTTTCTGCTTTCCGAAATGATTGTTTTCTTTTCAAGAAGTGAATCACTGAAACCATGGCTTTGAGCACGAGTAATACGAGTTTTCTCTGTAGGACTCGGGCATGTTTGGTCCAAAATAACTTGATTTTATTCTCAAAATCACATACATATTCGTTTATGTCTATTTGTTCAATTTCTAGACTTTTCAGATCTTCTGAGAAAGCGTCTTTATCAATATTTTTATAGTTCCTAAACGAGACTGTTTCACTTTTGATATTTTCCTTTTTTATTTCAGTCACAATTTTGACAACACAATGATCTGATAATAATGACCGAATGTTGGTGGTTCTTCTCAGGTGCTCGTCTATGCCTATAATAATGCACAGAAGGATACCCGAGGTCTTCCTTCACTAGTAAATCTTGAACCTTGCCATATGACCTATACTGTGTTGGTGCAATGTAAACCCTAATCAAACAAACAAACATTTGCACATACTTAGGGCATATTATGCTTCAATTTGGTGAATTTTGAAATATAAATTTAAACAAAGTGGAAGATGTGGTTTAACTTGCATTATTTTACACATTTATGAAATAAGGTAAACATGTTATTGTTTTTTATATATATTTGTTATTTTTCAGGAGGTTTGTTAGTGAGTGGTGTGTATGATCTGACACCGTTAGTAAACACATATATATAAATGATCCTCTCAAAATGACACAGTGACAATTTTCTCTCTCATTTTTGTATTTTTTCTTAGGAAATATATGTTTAACTTTTTTAATGTTCTATTTCACTTTATTCCTGTTTTGCTTGTAAATAATTTTAGTTATCTTTTCATTGAATCATGTATTACGTATATCTGTAAAGCCCTGTTATCCCAACTTCATTAGACAGGACTGTATTTTCATTTTTAAATGCTCTGATTTCATAACAATGACAAAATGAATTTATTGTATGTATCATTATCTTAACCGTTGTTTGTTTTTTAGTTCTTAATATTATTTTTATATTTTGTTCGTGTCGGATACAAGCTTAAAGCTTATGTTTTATACTGTCAACCATAACCGATTATAGATAAAGTTTGTCTTACTGTCTTAGAGTCTTAACTTAACTGTGTTTGCATTATGCTCTTTTTAAATTTAAATAACAAAATACAAAACATTTTTATGAAAATCTTTGCTTTTTGAAAAGATAAGACCGTTATGGGTCATATATAATGATTTTGGTCCTTTTCGTGTGAAAAGTAAAGTTGATTTTTCATTTTCTTGGGGAATAATTTTGTTTCACCCTTTAGCTGAAATATAGAACTATAAGCATAGCACACTGGTAATAAGTTTGGACACAATTTGAGATAATATATTTGATATTTTAAACAACAAATGATTGCAACATTTTAATTTGGTTGTAGTTGTATGGTATAAATTTGATTGTTTCACTTGAAATTTCTCAAGAAATAACAAAATTGCTAGATTTAGTCTAGATTCAGTGTTCACATTGAAATGGTCATTTATAAAATATGTATAGACTATTAATACCTTTAATTAACTGTCAGTGTGAGCCTGCAAAACAAATATAGAGATCACATTGTTTATGATTGCTTTAAAGCTATATCAGTTCAGAGTTATTTATTAGAGTGTTTTTACTTATAAAGCTAATGTTATATCGCTCATCAGAGATTGATTTTAGTTTTAAAGCTTTATCAATTAAGTATAAAATCAGAGAGATATTTTAGCTAATTGATATTTCAGAGAAGATGCAGTTAGAAACAGCCCAGTGACACATCTGGACAAGATTGTAGAATTTAGTGAGAAGCGTAGATTTATTGTTGCCTATGGGGATCATGACCCGCCCGAATTTAGGCGTCAGAGCACAGAGTTCAACAGTGTAAGGACTTTTCTACTTGCATTATTCTTTTTTCAAAATGTGTCAATGCATTTCACATAATTAAATGACAAAGATAGGTACATATGACTGTAATATGTATAATAATAAGTCAGGGACATGTTTTTTTCTGGTTTCTGGCTTTACTTAGTACAAAGAAAATAAAATATTGCTCTGGTCATTGATAGGGTTACAAGTCTCTACAATAGTTGCTGTTTTCTCTTATTGCATATGTCACGGTTTAGAACTGTTAACTATATAGGGGAGAATATTTATAAGCAGCTGAATAACTCAGTCAGTAGAGCTGTGGTATGGTATTATGACGGTCCTGGGTTAGAGTCTCGGTCTGACTGCAAATTTTTCTCAACCTGTGACACATAAACTTACTTATTAAAAAGAAATACTCAAGATTCATACAAGAATGTTATTTGACCTTTGTTTGTATAGTTATATAAGGTTTAATGTAAGATGTAATTATTTCAGGCTCTTTTGTCAAAAGGTATTCAGTCTACGTTGATGGTCATACCAGATACAGACCATTTTAATGTGATAGAAAATCTACGTCTGGAGGAATACAGTCTCAGTCAGGTACTTTGTCTTTATATATAAAATGTCTGTAGACGTTACTATAGAAACTTCTGTTCAATAATGTCATTTGAAAAATGTCAGTCAATAAGAGTAAGAATAAACATGATAAAAATGGGAACATTTTCATTGAATGAATATTTTTTCAAATAACTTGCTGAATGTGTGAAATGAACTTGGACTTACCTAATTTTCATTTTTTGAACATTCCATTATCAATATTCTGGATATCAAGATGAAAATATAAAGTTAAGTCAGCCAACAGTATAGAGACTGGACTGTTCAGGCTAGCCTGTATCTATACTGGCGGCAAAGGCTGATCACTTTCTGTTCAAGCAGGGAAGAGGTTTTAAGGAACTTTTTAAATCTTTCTAACCTTGTATATGATCATTAGCACTATATTTTATGTATTAGTTAATAGATTTCCCAGAAATACAAACATTTTAAATGATGTGTCGTTATTCTTAATTTTATTGTTTTATTTTTTTACAGGAAGTTATAAAGTTAATGAATCTGAACATTGATACAATACAGGACCAGATGCAGGCAAAAAATTTATCTTAGCATACATATATAAACATTTTGTGTAAATTTTACTCGCATCAGAATAGTTGCAAATGGTGCAGGGAACCAGTCTTTCAAACTGGTAGTGTGAATTGTATATAAATTTGGGAACCAGCTAGGAACATACTTTATATGAGGAAACTGTCCAGCTAGAGATGGTTGTCTGCTCTACCTAAATGCCCCCCCCCCCCACCTCATTATGTGTACAAGAGTAAGTTAACATATTGGCAACTTGAATACATGGTATAGTTAAACTTCAAGAAGTACCACTGTTTAAATGTTAGCAATTATGTAAAAGTTAACAAAATATGTGAACATAGGAGCCTTATCTGTCCTTCTTTTGTATTAAAGTATATCACAATAATTCAATGTGGCCTGTTTGATGTAATTTTTGTATACATGTACTTTATTAAACACTTCTAAATTATGTATAATGTTGTGACATTTTGTAAAAAGAGCCTGGTTAGACTGCACGGAATACTGCTTATATCTTTCAGCTGCAGAAGTAAAGGTTTAAAAATTGACAGTGGAATCTGGGTAATGAGGACAGCACATCCTGTTACAATATGATCACTTTATAACATATTGTTGGATGGTCTTTTCTGCTGTTATATTCAGATTTGAAGTAAAAAAGTTGTTAGAAAATATTGCAACAGCATCTTTATTTAGTGGAAGAAAATTTTATAGATACATGTAGTTAGCTGTATATACTTTGAAACTAAAATTTTATGTGATTGTTGAATTTTATATACATGTGTAATACTTTTGTGTTCATACAACTAATACATTATACTTTGTTATATTTTAATAAATGTACATAATAAAATATATATTGTACACAATGTTAATATTCAATCAATGTTTTTATAATTGTGTAGAAAGCTTATTTTGAGCTTAATTCCAAGTCATTTACTTTTATTTACCTAGCATGAAATAATTAAGGATGTAGTTTGGGGTCACTAGGTTCAAGGTCAAAGTATTTTATTTATGTATATTTGTTTACCCTATATTGGCAAGTTGAGGTTTTTTCAAGTGCCATCAATAAGTAATGACATGACCATGGGGTGAAGCCAGGCTGTAAGGGGTCATTGGGTCCTAACCCACATAAAGATTGTAAAAATAAGACTAAAAATAAGGTCTGGTGCATTATAAAAATAATTAATACATAAAAAGTTGTCAAAACTAATGAAAAAAACTTTCTATAGGTCTTACCAGTTGATGGTGAGTGTATATATCTTAAATAAATCCATGGATGTCTCTGCAACATTTTGTTATTTAATAATTATTTGTTCAAAGTGCGTAAATGTGAGCTTTTATGATAGCAGTATATTTGTCTTTTCTTAGTTGGGTTATCCACATTTTTTAAAACAACATCTCCTCCAAAACCACTTTGTGGATTATGACTAAACTTCAAAGGAACGATCATTAGATGACATTTAACAAAAATTACATAAATAGTTTCTGTCTGATTTGTAAATAGGTCTGGAAAACAGGAACTAAAATAGAATTTAGAAATAGTTAAGGTATGCTGTTGTTAAAGTTGATGAAAGATTTGAACAACTGGACCAACAAAACTTTGCCAAAATTGCAATGCCAAGAACTTAGACATTTGGTATAAACATCGTCAAAATCGTACCAAGTTGAAATTATAGCCAGATGTTCAAATTGGCCTAGCTCCGGTGGGTCACGGGTCTTTATACAAAAGTAAACACTTATAAAATTTGATATGCAAACAGTGACTTCCATTATAGCAACCATTGACTTTCCTTAACAACAAGTAACTTCTGAAGCAAACAGATACTTCCTTTAGCAACAATTAAGTGATTTTCATAGCAACCTTTAACTTTTTATATAGACTAGTAAATTCCATAGCAAAAATTTATTTCCTTAGCAACCAGTTACTTCAAAAGCAACCATTGGCTTCTTATTGCATCCAGTGACTTTCATTGCAATCAATGAGTTTCCATAACAACCAATAATTTTAATAAAATCAATGACTTGCGGCAACCATTGACTTCTCTTATCAACAAAGCAACCAGTTACTTTCAAATGAACAATTGATTTGCCTTAGCAACCAGTGACTTACATAGCAACCGTTGACTTTCTATAGAAACCAGTGACTCCATAACAATAATTCACTTTCTTTTGCAACTAGTGAATGCAATAGCGACCAGTGACTTTCCACAATCAATGGTTTCCAAAGCTACCATTGACAACACCTTGCCAATAGAAAAGTTCATAGCAAAGTGACTTCCATGGCAACTATTGACCTTCCTAGTGACAAGTGACATCCATAACAGCAGTTGACTTATAATTTTTTATGCTCATCATAGTTATGAATTTTTATGCTCCACGAAGGGCGAGCATATAGTGGCCACTTTGTTCGCCCGCCTGTTCGTCCGCTATTCTTGTCCGGGAAATAACTTTAAAACAACAAGAGGTAAAAACATGAAACTTTGAAGGTAGATAGATCTCATTGAATATTTGTGCAATGCATAAGAACCATAACTCTGCCTTGCCTTATTTGGAATTATTGCCCTTTGTTTATTTTTACACTTTGAACATTCTATTTCAACATGAAATTTTAAAGATAGATAGATCTTATTGGGTAAAAGTGCAATGCAAAAGAACCGTAATTCTGTTTTGCCTAAATTTGAAGTAATTGCCCTTTGTTTATTTTTATACTTTGAAATTGTCCGGGAAATAACTCTAAAAGTATAGGAGATATCAACATGAAACTTTATAGGTAGATAGATCTTCAAATTAAACATTGACTGGCTTAAGCAGCTAGTGATTTAATAGCAGCCATTCACTTTTCGCAATCAGTGACTGCAGTAGCAAATGGTGACTTTCTACAACCACTACCTTCCATAGCTACCATTGACTACCCCTAGCAACAATGACTTTCATATCAGCTGCTGTCCTTCCATAGCGACAAGTGTCACCAATAGAAACCGTTGGCTTCTCATAGATATGAATTTTATTTAAATGTTGACCTTGATTTTTAGCCTACTTCCTACTTTCATTTACAGTTATAAATATTCCTTGTCATGTTGAGCCTTTATAGTCAGATGAGGGCCTTTATTTATATAAAAGTATTTTTCACTGTTCTCTGTTGCGTTTAAAAGACATGTCCAACTTCCGTTTCGTAGATATAAAATGGCAGAATAAATGCTCAGTAGACATTCACGATGCACATCCATCAAAAGATATTTGCAATTTCTATGCATCTTGTATGAATATGGATAAAACATTTTATCTTTGGAAAATATCACCTCAATCAAAGCAGTTTTACATATTTGCGTGAACTGTCTAATGGGCACCATGCATGTGTGACCATTTACAATAAAAAGAAAATGTCATGATTTAAACAATATTTTCATCTTTAAATTGAACTAACAAGAAAATTATTAATGGTATATTTTATAATCAGTGAAAAACTAACTATGCATGAGCTGCCACTTTGTTCTTGATCAAAGTGAAAAGGTATTCTTTTGCCTTTAAGTAATGTTGCATGTAAGAAAAATGTAAGCTAACTGATGTAAGGTTTCAACAGTCCTTTCATAAATCATATAAATTAAATTATGTAAATAAATGTAAAGATTTTGTCAGAAGGTTATTTTCTACATGCATTGAGGAATTACTTGGCACAATGTTCACTAGTGAGTATTTAGTCATCATGAATTGTGGAATTTTTAATGTTCATATTTATTATTATGAGACAGTGCATTTTTGACAGGATTATATTGTGACTAAATGGTAATCTTGTTTTTATGCTTTTGTCTTTGTTTACGGCAACCAGTATTAAATTAGTCAAACATTTTGTCTTCTCTGATGGCATATGTTATTTTTTTTAATTATAAAAATGATACAAAATTAAATAGACAAAAAGATGAAAAAAGTATGACATTTATTGTTCTTGCAATTTATTAATTATTATACAAATCACTCTTCTAGTTATGCAATAATGCAATCCATAATTCATGTCAACAGCCTGTTAATTAAGCTTTAATAAATATATGATACTTATGATGAAAACAAATACCCTAGTATTAGAAGTTATGACTTGTTTTACAGTGTTTTTTTTTGTTGTTGTTTTATTTAAGGTCATATATGTGTATACTTCCATGTCTTCCAACATAAAGTTTATTGTTTGTGTGAAAAACACTGTGAACAATCACATCTTGGAAAATTTGAAGTTTTTTACATTCTGGAGACAGTCGATGAATACATTTATTTCCTGTGCTGCTTACATAGACATTGTCTTCATCGTCAACAGTTAGGCCCCATGGTGTTATAAGATCTTTGTCTTTATATATTGCCTTAATATATCCATCCATTGTTAAACTGGTCACAGAATCTTTATTATAATCAGAAACATAGATGGTATTATGGTCTTTGCTGAGTGCTACTCCATAACATTGATCAAACAGCTGTTTTCCATCAGAGTCATTTCTGATTGTCCTTAAAACTTTGCCATCCCTGCTTAGAATATTAATACATGAATCTGCTGCCTCAATGAAATTTCCACTGCTATATATAATACTAAAACAAAATTTAGCTGATATTCTGCCTTCTGTTTTACTTAATATTCCAGATTTTGAAGTTGATAGAATTTGGATTCCATTTTCTGTACCTATAGCAACTTTGTCCTCATTTATTTTAGCCAAACTCCATGGAGTATCTTCTAGTTTCAGCTCTGATACCACAGTTTGTTTCCTTAAATCAATTGCTTTAATTGTAATATTTGGTCTATCAGCAACAACGACAAAATGTTGATGTGTTAATGTGATACCAACGACAGAGGGAGATACCTTATCACTATCAGTGTTTACATGTATTTTTGTGTCAAGTGTCAGTGATTTTATATTTGAATTAACAACAATATTGCTAGTTATGTCAGATGAAATATCTGATAGATTTAAAGGCTGTTTTGGTGCAGTTATTTGATGATTCCTGCTGCGAGGTTTTGCATGTATTTCAGTTTCTATTCTACATATCTCAGTTACATTTCTCATCATGTCTGTAATCTGAGGAGAAGGAAGAAGTTCATACTGTAGTATTTTATTTTCCGCCGCCTGTAAACTTTGTAATTGTTTTTCAAATTTCGAAGTATTCCTAGCTGATTGGTTCATAGCTATGAAGGCTTCACAGTGTTGGCCAGCTTTCTTTTTCACATCAATCTTCGTTTTAAGTTCTTTAAGGTCTTTATCCATGTCATTGTATGTTGTAGACATTTTAGTGAAGGCAGTTGTATTAGCATGTATTTCATCAATTTTGTTCTCCATTTCTTTCTCAAGGTTATCAAAGAATTTGTTAATTTCTTTACGTTGTTTGTTTAGCTCAGTTTTTGCTACATCTCTCATATCATCTGCTATGGCTGACATTGAGTTAAGCGTATTTCTATCTTCTTGAACTTGATGTGACATGACATCAACCTTAGTTATATATGTTTGTAGGTCATCTGTGATATTTAGAGCCTTCACATGTTTAGGAATGTGTTCCACATTATCACATTGCCTATGATTTAATATAATGCATGTAGTGCATCCAAGCATGTCACATGACGAACAGAAATATTCAATTACCTTGTCTACTTGAAGGTTACATGTTGTAACACAAACATCCTGTACATATTTATCCTTCACAGTTTGAGGCATAGTGTGTTTATCCTGAAGAACATGGCTCCTGGAAGCTTTAGAAAGTTTATGATTCTTGTAACATTGTCCACAGAGATATTCAGGGCAGTCAACACAGAACCCTTCAGCCTCTGCCTGTTTTCCATCTTGTTCACAAGGTTCACAAAAAATAACTTCTGCTTCGTCAGAACCTCCAATTACAGATCTGTAATGATCTGAACACTCGGCCATTTTGTCTAAGCTACATTTAAAGTTACCCGTATGTCAGTGGTATGAAGTACTTGTTTAAACTTGACAATCTGTTATTGAACGCTATCGTAGATATTTAGGTCAGGTCCCCGG